TTGGTATGACTATGAAGGGAGGAGGATATAGAGTCTATGGTAAGCAACTGCTAATCTATCAAATATAGAGTAGTTAGTCTTGATATGGCTATGAAGGGACCAGGATATAGAATCTTTGGTAAGCAAAGTGTTAATCTATCAAATTAATATGGAGTAGTTTTGGTATGACTATGAAGAGAGGAGGATATAGTGTCTATGGTAAGCAACTGCTAATGTAATATCGGCATATTGTAATGACCCTACCCCCCCTAAGGAATTAACTAGCACGCGCATGCGTACTTTAGTAAGTGTGCCATGTGAGGATTTCGAAATAGTAAAGTTGTTTAATTCTGTTGGTTATGAAGACTATTTCTCTTCACAAACATAGCGAACACTACACTAATCTATCAAATATAGAGTAGTTAGTCTTGATATGGCTATGAAGGGAGGAGGATATAGAGTCTATGGTAAGCTACTGTTAATCTATCAAATATAGAGTACATGTAGTTAGCCTTGGTGTAACTGTCTCAGTTATGGCTAGGCTATTTTACGGATCGATCGGACTAGACACTTTAGATCCCTTGATCTCTTTTAATCTTTGTCGTTAAATCAATCGTAAAACTATGATAAATCAAATGAAATAAATTGCTAACTAATCTTCCTGACAATCATACATACATGCAATCATACAATAATCGCGATAGAGCTTAAAGAAAATACAATAATTCCTTAAATAATACAAGTAAAATCATACCTTGTCTAGCTGCTTGCAAACTTGAACTATGYTAAACGTGKCTCGTGTCCACTTACTTAACTCATATGACAGGTTAATTATTAAATTATTACATGAATCAATTGGTCTTTGTTCTATGTAAACATATATGTCTTTTAATAATCATTTCCGATAAAACTCATGACGTCAGTCACACTTGGTATGACTATGAAAAGGCATGTACCAAACCAATGTCATTGTATGAGGATTTATTCTCCATCCAATCAAAAGCCAAAGTATGTTGTGAGCACGGTGCAGATACTGTCACATGTCATAAAAATGAGGGGTTGATCAAGACCAACTTCTATGATACATTGATTACTTTTTGTGGTATCATAAATTTAATACATGTACAATAACTACTGCAACTGTATTTCATCCCCACCCCCTCCCTAAAGGTCATTTAAGAATTACAATGGTATTTTTATTATATTTTTTTAAAAATCAGAAAAAAAATGTTTTTACTAATTACTCTTGGCCAGTCTATTTCCTTAATTTCACTCAGATGTATCAARTACTATTTAAAAATCTGTTTACCCCTTCTTTGGGAATTAAGTTTTTGCATGTCTACTGTCAGTAGTTTATTGAATGATAAATGGCAAATGAATTGGCCTCAGTACAGTAACAGTGTTAAAGTGCACCTAACCCCCGATACAATACTTTCAGTATTGATTCTACATAAAGTGAATAGTTCAATCATGGTGGAATATTTCTTCATTTGAATGTTGCGTCTTTAAGTTATGAGTGTATTGTTTTAATTTTTTATACCAAACACTAGCCATTATGAGACATCAGATTTCAATAAACATTGTGGAAACCTTGAGTATAATAATGATTCTTTTTAAAAGCTGTTGGTATGAACCAGTCAAAATGTGTATATTTAATGAAGCCTAGGGTGACGTCACAGTCAGTAACATATTGGAAGTATACACCTTCATAACTTAAAGACTCAACATTAAAATGAAGAAATATTTCACCCTTCAACTATTTACTTTATATAGAATCAATACTGAAAATATTGTATCAGGGGTTAGGTGCACTTTATAATACAGTGTATGCAAATGCAAATATGTAAATCCTAATTAGCCCCACCATCATGCAGTTAAACATTAGGCTTATTTAACACATTTTATCATCTGTGTAACAAGTTTGTTGTTGTTATATATTTATAGGAATTAGTAACCTTCATAATGTAACTGAAACAACACCACCAACATCTAGATCGTCAAGTGTAATCAGTGACAACTCAAGAACCAATTCAACTGCACCCTTAAAAATCCAATCTGAAAWTGCTAGCAAACTTATAGATAAAGTTAAGAATTTACTGGATTCCAGTTCAGGAATCTGTCCAGAACTCAAGAACCAAGTTACACAGGTACATTGCAGTTGGCTTTTATTGTTCATTAATTTGGAAATAAAATGAAAATTTCAAATAACGGAAATGAATAATTTGCAATTTATTAAATAGACCACAGGCTGTTGGATGAAATAGTAAATATTAATTAAAGCAACAAAAATTAATTTTCTTGATATATGATAAAAACATATGTCTTGTGTATTAAGTTTTTTATCGAATTGTATGCCCATAGATACACATAAGGTAATTACTTCTAATTTATTGGGTTGGATTTATTTGATACTGATTTCCATGTTTTTTCCTTTTTTTATTCTTCATAATTTGTTTCCATAATGTGTTTTTTTACATTAAAATTCTTCTTCTCAATGTTTGTTGTAGATCTTATGCAAAAGACCCAATGGTGTTTGGGCAGCACGCCTACCTGTTGAATACAAGGTAACTGCTCGGACTTACATTTTTGTAATCATTTATTTTTTTTCCCATTTTRTTTTCATTGTAAACTGCCTCCTGGTTGACTCAGTTGGGCAATGGAAATATCTCCAAATGGTCAGACCTTTGCAGTGGCTTGGATGACAACATAAAACAGTGTTCCCGTCTCACTTGGAGACTTTAAACATACGTGTAGAGGGCCACAAGTTTATCAGTGCTAGGTTGGCAAACTTCACGTATCACCCTGTCTAAATAAAGTCCATGATGCTGATGATTACTGTTATTATTATTACTAACAAAACTGATCAGAACTTACCATTTGGTTTCCCAATAAAACACCATAAGGATGTGATCTCTCTTCAAACAATGGTCTAGACACTTGAAGCTCTATACAGTACTAACTTATGCAATACTTTGTCTTCTATCAGCAATTACCTCTTGAAGGTTCTTCTTCGGTACATTTCAAGTTTAGTCCATGCTCCTTACTAGAACCATATAGTATTCTCAACTGCTATTATAATTATATGTTATAACCATTTTATTTTTAGACTGAACTAACTTTTCAATATGATATCAACATATTTAATGCAGAAAGCTTTTGACAAGGAATTGAGAGTGCGTGACTATGGATTTACAAATGTAGTTGAGTTAGCTGATGCAATGCCAGATAGAGTAAGAATAGAAAGACCAACAAAAACTGGAGACTGGCTGTTATACAGCACTAAAGACTTCTATGAAGGTACTGCACATAAGGTTCATTGTGTGGAATTATTATTTTTTTCTTTATGGCCTATATAACTTGTACCTAAGTATTTGTCTTGTTTGTCATCAGAGCTCAACCCAGTGGCATCGAATACAGCACAACCTGCACAAAAGCATGAAAAACCAAATGATTTATGCAGGCAACAACAACACAGATCTAATATACAAGATGGTGTAGGACAAGGCACATACTTCAAGAAGCTTACAGTTCCTGATTCAGGTTACTTCAGTGTCTATATTTCCCACTGCATTGATCCTAATAATTTCTGGATAATTTTTACTGATGAATGGCCAAAACTAGAAGCAATTGGTAAAGATCTAAGGTAAATTATTCCAAATTTTTTTAAATGAATTTTTTCTTCACTTGCTCTCTGAAGAAGCATAATTTACTGCAAACGAAATGAAGTTACCCAGCGGCTTAACAGTCTTAGATTTTTTCTCTAAGTTAAATTACATTTTCATGTACACAAATTCATGTACAGAATGATTCTACAGAATGATTGAATTGAGTTCGCACCTCACTGCAATCCCTACATCAAATGCACATACAGTTCAGTTATAATGTAGTTATTGTTTACTGATTTGCTTGAAATATCACATTTCAGCACATTTTATAATGGTTCAGAAGGTGACAGGTATAACATGCCTGAGAAGCTTGTCTCTGTAGGACAGGTGAGAATATTACCTTCAATTAAGGAAGTTTAACAAATTTGATCTGCATTGTACTTCTCTGTCAGTAAAGTTTACTATAAAAATTTATTTTAGGTTTGTTGTGCTTGGAGTGCAGATTTTGAAGACTGGTTTAGAGCTGTTATTACTGGTGTCAGTTCCATGCAGAATATTGAGGTATGGTTGTGTACAGATAGAAAATATGCATGAGAGGCATTGCTATGTAGTAGTGGGACGTCAATGAACATTACAGTGTATCTTCTGGTACATGTTTGTAACACAATTGGCAAATAAACCAATAGTACCCTTGTGCTTAATTTGTAATCTTATGAGAATATTATAAATCCCCCTAGTTCCAGAATTTTGTCAATGTTGTTTTGGCTAATGATTCAGCATTGGTCCATTCAACATTGCCAGGGGGAGGGGGAGGGGGCTGGGGGAGAAGAGTTGCTTCATGAGGGGATTGGGCTTCCTGTGGTTTAGTTTCAAGAAGGTACTGTATTTGTTGGGTGATTGAAGTTTTGATTCATTTACTTCCTCATTACAGGTTTTTTATGTTGATTATGGTAATAACAGTAGAGTGACATTGTCAGAACTCAGAATTCTGAGGTATGTACAGAGTAACTATGTGATTATATTTTACTAATACATACCTGTACTGTTTGGTCTTGGGAGGGGTTTATGTCAGGGGTGCAAGATGAATGTTGCAAGCATTGCTTATTTCTGTCAATAAACTAACCACAAAAGTGAGGGTCATCTTAACCTACAGACACACAGTGTGCAACAAAACACATAATGTTGCAGGCAATCAATGTTGCAAGCCATGTCACATGATGCAATTTGTTGCACACAATTTGGCTGAAAACAATCCAACTTCAGCAACGTTGCCTGCAACAACATTGCACACAATTATTGCACTGTGCGTCCTAGCTTAAAGCCTTTTGGGAACAAATTACAGCTTGAGGATGCTCAAAAGAAGAGAAACTGTAATTTGTAGAATATTTTAGGTCCATCAAGACATTGATAAGTAGTTGGAACATTTGATATCTGGATGCCCTTGCTTAATATTTATTACATATTATTAATAATTATACACTATTCATATACTGAAAATTATTGAAATAAGTATACTGGTCAGATAAGACTAGTCATTCTACATATTATCTTATGCTGAAACACAGGAATTATATTTCTAGTTATTATATAGTTAGGATACTACGCAAGTGCTGATTGGTAGAAAACTGTGCTTTATTTAGTGAACGGAGCACAAGGCTGACACCATCTGACACAGGATTCATATTTGTTAAATAAATAGAATTCCTTAAGCTCTGGTAATTGTTTTTTAGATCAGCATTCTTGAACCTACCTGGTCAAGCCGTTTATTCACAACTGGCCTACATTAAACCACTTAAAGGGGTAATATACTTAAAATAATGATCATTTTATTCATGATTAAGCTTTCTTAAATATCAATGTATATTTATTATACTTGTCCTATCAATTGTTTAGAATGAATGGTCTCCTGGTAGCTGTCATCGTTTTTACCACCTCACCAAGAATTATAAAGCTTTGTTTGGTCTTCTTTGTGGAACTAAGGTCAGATATGACCGGTATAAATCGTTTTTTTTTTAAATGTAAAGCTCATGGTCTTATTCACAAATTAAGATGACTTTTATGCAATACTTGGATATTATTTGAATATAGAATTTTTTATCATATTATTAGACTATATGTTTACATACAGTTGACTCAGTACCATGATGATCATTATCTGATTAACTCTTGCATTGCATTCCTTAGGATGGGAAACTCTGTCTTTGTCTTAGTGATACTACATCAGAAGAAGATGTGCATATCAATGATTTACTGGTTGATGAAGGTTATGCCTTGTTCTGTCCTGATTCACCTGTCAGCCATGACTCCCCTGTCAACAAGTCCTTTTCCAACCAACCTTTACATGCCATTGAAAAGGTAATATATGATATAGATACTGTAACACACTGGTAATCAAGGATAGATCCAGGAGGTGGATTGGGTGGCTAGCCATCCCTTTTTGGAGTTGAATAAAGGACAAGGTCAAATATAATCAAAAGAACGCTATATGATGCACTTTCTAGGTAACAGCCTGGATCTTTCACTGGGTGAACCTAAAGTTATGACACAATGCTTTGTTTTCTGAAAAGAAATATTTTAATTTTGCAATTTAATTTATTTAAGGTGGAACCAAACTAAACAATTAGTCTGGTTCCACCTTAAATACAGCTGTAAATTTAGATATAAATTAAAGCACTTGTGCTACATACAGTATGTGCTCTACCATGGACACTTCATTCCACAAGTTTTTCATTTCTTTTTGAGAACTTTKAATTGTGCTCTTCACCGCTAACCTATCAGGTATCAGCACTTCACATTGATATTTTGATATTTCATTAAGGTGGAGAGTCTAGATTTAAACTGCATCAATGTCAAAAAAAAAACAAAAGCTAGGAAAGCTTTCATGGTACATCGCCTAGCACATTAATCCTTAAATAACTTAAGGTTTAGTGATTAAGTAGAGTTGAGTGTAGAATAATCTTCAATTTCAGTGTAATCCAGAGAGCACAACTATCCGTCACCCACCAGGACTACCCCCTGCAAGGGAGGGACAGCAATTCTTTAATCAACATATTGCATCTGCAATATCCAGCTGTACTACAACAATACCAGGTTTGTTAAGGCCTGTTTGTCTTGAATGTAAAGTTAATGGATTTCATAATGGCTAGGACTAGCCATACCATAACTACTGTACATGACAGATTAATCCATACCATGGAATATCTAATGGGGGATCCAAGGGCGGGGTTCCAAGGGGGCAGCATTTGCTTTACATGTACCTTTCTTGTTTCCCTTTGTGTGTCCAAAAATATCCCCAGGGCCAAGGATATAGCATTTCTGAAAACTGTTGCTGGACCTCCTCTGGTTTCGCTTTGTGTATATAGTCAGTAAGATTTGATTGTAGCTGAAGTTTTACACCCTCTTCCTTCCCCTGATGCCTTACATGATTGTATCTTATTTGAGTACTATATCCATGAGACTTTAGGTGGGCATTTCTACAAATGAGATCAATTTGATTATGTGGCTTACCATCCGAATTTGTCGTAAAACTTTGCAGAGCTATCTTTATTTCATTTTGTAAAAAAAAAATTACAGTACATCAGATTGGACCAACGTTGGATAATTCCTTCATTCTGAGGCTGTATTCTCTATAGCATAAGGATAGGATATTAGCTCATATATGATTTATTATTTTCTTTGCAGAATTCCCACTGCAGTTGAATATTGACTACAACAATGAATCTTTTATGAACAGGTAAATGGTAGTTTACTATAGCCATGCTCAACTATAGTGTTAGCAGTAGACATTGTATGGCTATATTCTCTCCACCTGATCTGAAATAGTGATGTAGAAATGATGTCACTGCAAAACTGAGGTGTCATGAATATTGATCAGCCAAAAATATAATAAAAAGCCTGCCATTGCAATAAAAATATAAAACTAGTGAATTATTGTGTCACTGTTATCAAGTGTGTATTAAAAACGTTATTTTCCCCCTTTCATTGCCTGGAAATCCATAATTTTGAGAGGAAAGATGACACCTCAGGATTGCAAATTTTCTCGATTCTGATTGGCTAACATTTTCTTTCAGACCAGCTGGCTTTCTTTCCTTTCCTTTTAACTCTCTTCTAACTACAATCTTACCATGACTTAACTGATAGGTTTGTTAGTCGTGATAATCATCTGCAAGATGTGCAAGAGAGAATGCCAGAACAGCACACAGAAGATGTGTCAAGAAAAGATAAAGATGAAGGTGTGTTTGATACAACATGGCTACTTGCTATCAATAGATCATAATGTATTGTAGTCTCTTGTTGATCAATGTAATCTGTAGATGAAGGTGTGCTTGATACAACATGACCACTTGCTA